CCCCGTCCACTTATTGAGCCCATTCCAACACCTGTGTTTAACTAAAGGATGGCATGATAGGGTCTCTGGATTGAAACTCGAATCTTGCGTTTGTCTTCTTACACAATATAGTTGGGTATTCTCTCCCTCGGATATGCTTTGTGTGTGGGGGGGGGGTGAGGATTAGGATGCTTTTGGTGTTTTTTTGTCAGATTGCCTGCCAACAAGAGCGTTATCTTCTCTCCAACCTCTCATTACTCATTAAATTCAATGTTGCAGTGCTTTTGTATGTTTCCAGTTTTATTGTATTCCACGTTCAAATACTATATTTGATTGACTCTTTGGCTAGTCAATAGTTATATTCTTTGCGTTCTTGGATAACGCAGCACGGAAGTAATTGGCCAATATTCGGTAATCCCTCTCTCGAGGGATGAAATTTATGTGTGTTCCGTTCAGGCTCGCCTGATAGTCTTGATTTGACTTGTTGATAAGTTGCGAGTAACAACAATAATAATGTTTTCTTCGTCATAGTTCAATCTCGCCTTGTTCCGACGATGAGATTCGATATCGTAATGGCATCTCCGCCTCTCCGGATCGAATTGAACCAACGATTACTCCTCCAATTCATTCACACCCTTCTCAAACTTTGCATTTCGTTGGTGGAGAGAGCTTTCATCGATTTTTCATACTTAATATCCTCTTACTAATTAGCATGTTCTTTGTAAGTTTTGCATTTTTTTGTTTAAAAAATTATAATAAGCCATCTTAATCAATGAAATTAGCAGTTGGTGTGATTACAAAGGCGATTTGGATTTTTATTGATGCTAAGCTTCAATTACTGTAACTGCCAAATAGGCAAGAATGGAATGTGCGTAGATTTCTTAGTTTAAAAGTTATTTCGCACCTACTTAAGTTGGTTTTCTTGGATTAGTAACGTAGGTGGTGATTTGGATTTGAATTAAGTGATTATATGGCGATTGGAATTCGGAAGTGTTTCACAGTGTGATTAGATGATCGGATGTGTAATTGGTCTCTATCTTGGCGTCATTCTCATACCTCCTCTACTCTCTCATTTCCTGATTTTATTTCATATTCGTTGGATGCAGCTTGACTTGCTGCAAATGTAGTGGATATTTTCATATTAATGAGACGAACCATTGTGAAATCTAATTTGCAGTCATTTTGGTGTCCGAATTTGTGATTTTAGTTCACTATCGAGGAGAAGGGCCTCAAACAGACAGATCATCCAATTAACCAAATGGGGGGTTGTTTTGATGGATTTTCATATTCGACTAAAGTTGATCAGGACATTTAGTTGCCAATATGTACTTGCTTTATATTTATTTATTCCAAATGGCAGGCGTTTTGATAATTATCATTAGCCCTTTAGCTGGCTTCGGGCTTCACAGAGAGGAGGAGGAACATCAAAGTGAGACAAAGTAGAGAGGGAAATAGAAGAATGGATCACAGATAAAAAAGACAGGCAGACACAAAGATAGAGAAAAAGATAAGGTGCGTATTGTGGAAGTGGTCGAATATGGCACATGGTAGTTTGAAGTCAGAAGTCGACTGCCGGTTAATAGACTTTTTGCCGTATGAGTATATGTTGTCCAGGGTGCACCACTTGGAGGTAAGTCTATCGCACACCCCACTTGCCTTGTATCTATTTTTTACTGTGTATTTTCTATTTATTCATTATTTGACTAATTTACTTTGTTTATTTGGAAATGAATTTATTTATCTTTTTAAAACAACTATTAATTTACAAAAAAACGAATTGCTCATAAAATTTTTCTATGAAATGCCCTTCACAGTCATCTGCTGTTTTTATTCCACTCTCAACTGAGGCAAATCTCACAAATTTACTATTTAGTATTATTGTTATATAATCTTATTTATTACACTTATAGTTCTATCAGACCGATAGATTAGCCTATTTATTAATAACGAAGGTAGAAGTTCAACTACAGCAGGGAGAGGCACTTTTTGGAAAGTTAAGGAGTCTTTATTACATTGGCTTGGAAATTATTATAATTGTTTTCTCAATCTTACGAATATGTTTGCTTTCCGAATGATCATTCTGATTTCGTTACGCTTCAATCAGACTTAAATCAATCTGAAATTGACCACTGGAAATCATTCGAACCACGTGTCATAATGTTAGCAAATTTTAAGGTCAGTTGTTTTTGTGAGGAAACACGTATTAACTTTCGAATGGCATAAATTTATAATTCATTATTGTACATCCCTATAATAACATATATATATGTGTGTATATTATTTGTATATTTCAGGGAGTTTGTATTTGCATTTGGCGTCTAACAAGGGAGACGGAAACTGGCGTCTTTATTGCTGTGGAATTTCTTGATCATTCCTTTAACTTCGGCCAAGGAATCCTCATTTTCTCAGTATTTGGCTTCGATGCTGATCTGATTATTAACCCACTAATCAATTGGTAAATTTGTTTGTTTATTTTTGCACTTATATAAGTGGGACTTGTATCGGAAATTCTGTTTGAATTTTAACTTTTAACCCTTTATTGCCGGAATAATTTTTTTGTTTGAGAAATGCACCCAACCGTGCTCACACCCGTGTCTCACAGCAGACTGATGTCGCCGATGTGATGAGTATTGATGAGGTATCAGGTGAAGACTATAGGCACGTATTGAGCATGTTACAAACGCCAATAGCGCCTTCGGTTACGAGTCTAGTACCGATGGAATTCTGTTTTGAAAGAGGACCGTATGACCCTAAAGGCTTTAATGGGTTAAGTGGCATTCGTTTATTTTTATTGTTTATTGCTGGTTTATGAGCATGTTTACATGACAAGAGATTTACTTTTTCCCCCCAGTAAAAGCCTTTCAATGACGATGTAAGTGTAATTCGCCTGTAACTTTTTTCTCATTATACGTTTCCTCTTTCTCTTAGAAATTGACTAGTGATTGAAATGGGTAATTGGTAAAAAGAACTTAACTGTTACTTAAAACCTCTACTTACTCCTTAATCTAGAAGTAAATCTGCAAATTTAATTTCTTCTCCTCTCATTATGGGCATTCTTGAATGTTCAAGACGCCTTATCCAAAATGGTCGGAGAAATACTACAATTTCTTCCCTTCATTTCTCAATTTAACTCTTACAACGATCAATATGCTCTTTTAAAGAGGACTTTAAAGCGATCATACTGTTTAATATTTTTGTTTTATTTTTTGGAATCGAATTTTGCGATGAATGGTAAGCGCTTGAGACTTAATGAGGCATTATTGTAATCATTTGCCCCCTAATGATCACTCACGGATGGGCTTCCATCCATTTTCGCTGCAAATTTAGCACTTGTGCTATGTCGACCATTTGAATAAAGGACCTTATCAAATAGACGTATTAATTAGGTGGTTCTAAGACCTTATTGGATTTCAAAAATGAAATCTCTCACAGTTTAGGGCCTCTATACTCTTTAACTTTCATTTAATTCCCTTCTGAGCGTGTATTACAGCTTAGCTTTCAGGGTGGTGGTCGGTTTGTTTCTTTTTTTCAAGAAGAATTTTCAGTAGTTGGTGGTATTCGTCACACTTATTCACTGCTAAATTTTGTCGGATTTCAGTAGAATGTGTATTTAAACGGTTAGGCAACACCCCTTCCATAAAGTCGCGGAGTTGGAAGGTTGTGTGTACACTAGTGAATATCTTGTCTCTTAATGGCCAAGTTAATAGAATGGAACCTCATTACGGCAGAGTTCCATGGAATTCACTCCCATTGAGCCATACATTGTGTATCATGCCAACGTCAATTAAATTTTAATAGCACAGATTAGCCTTAATTTGAGTAAATCTCTTCGAATTTTTTTTGATTGGGGGTGGGGTTGATTTACATTTAGAAGTAGGCATTTTAATTGTAAATTCGAATTCTTTGATTAATACCAATGTGTTTAATTGGTGTGTACTTTAATAGTTATAATTGACGTACAAAAATTGTCAAAACATAGACGAACCGTGGAACCGTCTGGTTTTGAAATGTGGAAATTGTCATATAAGCACGCGATGGTGAGAAACGATGTATAGGATAGGTTTGGGAGGAAATCGATTATTCACCCATATAAGCAGAGTAATTTGTACTAATTTTGTTTCCCAAATTGAAATTTCCTTTTTTTAGTAGTTTTACAATGCATGAATGACAAAATTTGGACAAAGAAATGCACAACTTACAACGTCCCATTTGATGACAAGGTAGGAAGTGGGAAATGTATTGAATTGAATCTTGAAGGCACGTGTTATCCTAAAGCTTTGGATTGCAATCAATGCATCTTTAGCCCACATATTTCCGCGACATTTGCTCTTGTAGGACACTCTCTCTTAATTAAACTTATTATTAAGGTTCACCGCTGGTGATAAATGTACTAGGTGCCTTTGTTCAACGCGAATGGCATGCATTTATTAACAGATTTTTGGTGTAATTTGGGTATTTTAGAAATCAATTCATTATCGTCTGATCTTAGTAAAAAAAGTGTCGAAATTTCTCTAGTTTAACTGGATGGTTGGGTGTCGTTTCGTCAAATTGTTAATAGTTATCGAACTAGCTGTTTTTTTTATCAGCTTATCAGACGGTTATATAATATGAAAGCGATTTAATGCAGACTTCTATTGCTATTCCCCCCTCCCCCACCACCATCCTTTGTGGTTGTCTTTGTTAATGGTCGTCGATTGTTATGATTACACCTTTTGTTTGATCGAAAATTGGATAATTTTGCACGTTATCTCCAATTTTCCTTTCAAAAGAAACAACATACAGACAAAACGCTCTTAGACCTACTCCGTTCTCTAGGCGGCTTGAAAGGTTTAGCTCACCGCCATTATTGAAGTGAATCACATCTTCTTCTAACCAACCGTTAAAGGCGGTGTCGATTATGTTAACTCTTTACCTCTTTACTTGTTAATATTTCCCCACACTCCTGTAAGCGAATGGCGAACGGCCTGTGTTTTCCTACACTTTAAGGTATTGCATAAAATTTTGCCCCGAGACTTGATTACTTTCTGCTTATTGTTAATTTCATATAACTGGTTAATTATGCAAGCCTTTATTTTTAATTGAGCAAAAACATTTACCCATGGGAAAACACTTAACCTCAATGGGATGGAAAAGCTTGAGATCATCTGAGTCGTTGAGTGGCCTCTACTTTCTCAATTTCCTTTTTGGCTTGACCAACTGTATCTATTAATTACCTCCCTCATTAATTTATCATTGTCTATCATCATCGATTTGGATGTCAATGTTTTTTCCCCATGAGCATATGCTCAATAGGTGAGATGTTTTATTGAAGTTTAATCTACTTAAGCTACGTGTCATGCCTAATGGGGTTGGTTTTTTTTCTTTGATTGTATGAATAGGATTACCATGACATCGCCCTTTAAACCTACCATTATTTTTAATGACATTTTTTCCACTTAAACTGAATCATGACTTTTTAAGTGATTAGCAGTGTGCTACACACACACACACATGCACACACTTTCGCGGACAAATCTAATGTATGCAAACTTGACATCTTTTCAAATTTCTTTTGTGTACATTTGATCTCCTCCACTGAGTCATGGACATGGGAAATCCTATCACGGACATTTTGTTGTGCATTTGACTCTCCTTGTCGCCTATTATCTTGAAGCATTGGATAATCACTCCCTCGTGTAATAGGGAAGCAACTATTTCAAGTCAGAGTGCACTTCAATATACTACTAAATTATTAGTTAGTAGTTTGCAAAGGTGTGTGTATGTGTGTGGCACCATTCACTACACCCAAAACGATGGAAGCTACATCCATTTGCAGTGGCATGTTATCGAACCGTCATTTTCTCAATTGGTAAATAATTTGTCATTGTGATATTGCTGAGAGGAGCATACAAATCTTCTTATTATCAATTTGAATCTACTGGCATAAGGAAGGAAGAAACATTCTCGAAACTATCAGAACTCGGAACACCACGAATATGAATACTCACGGGAATCTATGGATTACTTCTAAAAATATGAATGATTGGAATAAGGTTGGGTGAAATAAAGTCACTTTATAGGGGATATTACGATTAACCCTGTAGCGCCCTGCAGGACCTTACGGTCCTCTTTCAAAATAAGTTCTAGACGGTACTAGACTCGTATCTGAAGGCACTGTTAGCATTTTAGATGTGTTCAACGCATGTCTATAGCCTTCGACTGATACCCCATCAAAGCACATCGCATCGACGGCATCAGTCTGCTGTGAGACACATGTGAGCGCGGTTGTGTATATTCTTCAAATAGAAGTGATTCGGACGTTAAGCCGCTAACAGAGCATTCAAATGAATTTGAACTATGCCCTAACATTGGCTAGTTAATATGGAATCTTGACGCTGGAATTAAATGAATGTAGGAGGATGGGAACATCTATACCACCTTCAACATTTCTGCTTATTATTTTTTTGTTTTTGTCCTCTTTTACTTTACCAGTATTTCGACGTTGCGCTTTTGGGTTTCGGCTAATCTCTCATGGCCATCACTTCGCTTGGCACATCGATTGAGAGAAGAGGAAGTGGAGCAGTTCGTGGCCACCCAATTGCCTGTCTGCATGCAACAGATCTGCACCACTCTTTGGTAAGTACTGATTCCTGCTTGATTAGCATGACTCAATGATAGTGCTTTGCCTAGCCTTCAAATGCAGCAAAATCTGTAGCGCGCTATGGTCAGTTGACCCCTTTAAATCATATTCCAAGTTTAATGTGTGACAGAAAATGTTTATTTATATCAAATGGCAGGCGCTTTAATAGTTATCATTATACCTTTAGTTGACTTCAGGCTTCACAGAGGGAGAGGAACTTCAAATCGAAAAAGTTGAGAGTGGGGGGGGGGAACATAAGAGTGTTTTAAAGATGTAAAAGAGACATACACAAAGGTAGATGAAAGGTGAGATGAGTACTGTGAAAGTGTTCGAATATGACATACAGTGGGGTCATGATAGCTTGAACTCAGGAGTCAACTGCCGGTTTATAGACTTTTTTTGCCGCATGAGTATACGTTGCCCAGGGTGCACCACGTGGAGGTAAGTCTATCGCACAGAAAATATAAAGTCCTGTTTAATCGCAAGCTTCTTTTTTTGATCGAATTAAAATCTCCAGAAAACGATCAATAATTTGTAAACTTTTCACTAAAAATTGTATTCTTTGAATACGATGTTTGTTGTGCGTTCCTCTCTTGTAGAATATGACTATTGCCTTTCGAAGTTGTTATCGGAACTAATAACCTATTTTTGTCTGTTTATTTAAATTTAAATTGAAATGCCTTTGGTTGTACTATATCACAATGTTCTAATTGGCCTAATTGGGGGGTGGGGGGGGGGGGGGGGGGGNGGGGGGGGGAGGGGTGTTCGGAAATGGAGCAGCCGATCTCAATCAAATGCTATTGAACGTTTGGAAGCAAATGGTTGCACCCACCACAGAGATATCTTAATTCCACCCATTGATGATGTTAACGAAGTAATTAGCACTTTCTACTTCCAACAGAAATGACACTGTCCTCTCATTTACTATTCGGAAGGATTGAGACGGTTACATATCCAACCATCCCATGCTGTTAAGATGTCCTTTCCAATCGCCTCTAAAGTTAGAATGCAGTAGCAATGGAATATGCTTTATTCCGTTAGTGCAGAAAGGGACTTAGATCAGAAAATGGTTTGCTGTTGCTTGCCAATAATTTAACTGAGGGTGTAAGGTTCACCACCTTCTGAGTACAATTCACAATAATTTATCCTCTATGTTCATCCATTCAGCAATTCAATTGGTTGTTTTGCAACCAGAAACTCGTCTTATTATTTTATAATAGGGGTTTCATAATCGACTCCACATCTAAAAGTTTGTGTTCAGGCCAGCAAAGGGGTTACTAAGTCGAATACTTTTTTAATCCCCTGGGATTGGTAATTGATTGAAGACTAAGTCCTCTACGCTTAATGCATTGAAATTTAAGTATATCATTATTAATGGCTGAATTTTATTGTTTAGTTTATCGGGCCGTACTCTCGAATCGGTCTTCAACTTCGGCGATTTTCACCACTGGGTTAGCCAGAAGTCGGCTGCTGAAGGTCGTCATCAGTCGCGTGAAGATACCGCCTCGCTTCTAATGGCCTTGACAACTGGGAATCTGGTAATGTTCACCTCTCTTTTTCAGCATAACTCATCTTTCCCAGTATTTCTCATTCTTTCTTATGAAAATCCAGTCTCTGCTACGAATAAGACTTTAGTGTCTCTATTTTATGTCCTATTTTTAAATTGATCCACATTTACTATTTGTGTCTTCTTATCATCTTCTTTTAATCATACAGAAAGCTAAGGGATCATCTTTATTGAGCCTGGTTGTTGGTTATATTTTGGAAGGTACGAATTCGTCAGGACATTGCTTTACTATAACGCCTTCCCTGGCCGCTTACCTCTCAGTCTGGAATTCATATTCTATGAGGTGCATTGGAACGTGATATGACCTCGTGGGTTGCATTAAATTTTCTCATGTGAGAAATGCATATTTTAATGTCAATCGGAGACATAAGTCAGAATGGTAGGAAGGGCAAACACTTTCTTTGTCGTGTGCGAGGAGTGGCATGTTGATCTTCTACTTAAAAAACTCACTTATTCCCTGTCACCGTCATAAAACCTTCATGTCACATTGTTCATTAATCTTCTGCTCAATTGATTGGCATATTGTCTTGATAATTTCATCCTGTAGCATGGGATATGAAACTAATTGGAATAAGAATATGCTCAATCACGACGATTGGTTGGTAGTTGTCACAGTACTTCCATCTTGACTTCCTCCTTCTTGGTTAATAGCACTTGAGGCCTCACAAATTTGGCTGACTGCTCCCATCTGACAGGTTATTCAAGAAAGCCAATTGAAGTTGTTGAAGAGTTGTTGACACGACTACTGTGTGTACACTCTTCGCTTGTGCAATTGTGTTGCGCCACACACGATTAGCGCTTCTTGCTGCTAACTTTAATATCCGAAATGGGGGCACCTACCTACCAAAATCTTCTCACACACAATCGAAGCTAGGTGGCATTCGTGGCCTCCTCACTAGTCAATCCACTTCTATTATTTAATTATAGGTCATGTTTGAGCAAAAGTGTAATTTCATTTCCGATATTCTAAACATTTCCGGTTTTGGAAACTTTAGATCTTTTATTACTAACTGTAGATGTGACTTTTAGGCGTTGGCACCATCTCTCGATCATCAAATCAATTTGCATATGTGGAGAACAATTCTTATCTAATAAATCTACATAGGAAGGCATTTTAAGGCTAAATAAGTACTGGATTTGCCGTCAATTGCGATTTTTTCAGTGCAGTTATTTACATTTGTAAAATATGGCCTAACAGAGGGATAATTTATGTAGAGAACTTCCAGGAAAACGAAATTAATGAGTATTTATCAATTTGAAAGTATTTTTTCATTGTATTTTTTAACAATTATTAAAGGTTCGTCGTCTAACTGGCAATAGTGCTGGGACTCGCGATGTTGAGCATGGCGAAAGTGCAAGTCCGACTCTTTCCACTTCACCTCCACCCTCATCTCGCCGCCAATCTCCTCTCAGTCCATCAGATGATTCGCCAATTCTCTATCAATATTTAGGTTCCTCTTAAAATCGCGCATTTCGTTTTGCACTATTTCTGTCGTACTTGATCTGTATTTATGTTGTGTCAATCCAATTGTATCATACAACAATAAATCTGCATGCCTATGCGTTTGATCATTTTTGTTTTGATCAAAATGCATTACACGCATAGGGCTTGTGGTTTGTGTCTTATTCAACGCTTTATTAACAAGGGTGAATAAATATCGAGGAGATAGAAACCTATAGCAAGAAACTAGATTGAGAAAGAATAACTATCTTGGCAGCTATAGCTACTTCTATCAGAAGTTGGGAAATGGTTTCATATTAGACTGGTGAGGTTAAGTTGGTCTACTTCCAATACTTCAGTAGCAACGTGTTAGGTTGCTTATTGTGCCCTTAATAGCACGCCTAGTAAATGCTATGTAATTCTCGAGAGAATGCGACTAAAGCTTACTTTCAAAGAGATGCGCAAACAGTGAGTGTGGTTTATGGCGGAGATGAGGGTTAGGTGCGAATCGTGTGTGGGAAACTGTTTATTACTATTGGGGTATTTGAAAGGGATAGAGGTGGTAACAATGCTTGGATCAGAGTAGAACTGGATGACAATATACAATAAAGTCACGTAAAGATTTCAAGAAGTTTCAATAAAGAAATGAACACAACTTATTAAAACTGTGATATTTGGTACCAGGGGAGTATGATAGACTCATCTTTGTGTGGTGCACCCTGGACAACGAGTACTCATACAGCAAAATGTCTTTAAACAGGCTGTTGATTTCAAAATACCATGATCCCACTGTATGTCATATTCGACCACCTCCACAGTACTCACCTTAGCTTTTTTCGCTCTGACTTTGTATCTGTCCCTCTTACATCTGTGAATTACTCTTCTGTTCCCACACTCAACATTTGGTGATCTTGATGTTCCTCCAGATGTCAACTAAAGTTCTAACGATAACTAGTATAAAGCCTGCCATTTGATATAAGAAAATATTTGTGCAATAATGGTGACGTATCACTGCAGATGGGCTCGCTTTCGTCTTGATACTTGTTAACCACCATTAAACAACGCTATAAGACTAAAACACATGTATACCAAGCGATTAAAGTAACTGCAGGAAGATGGCTTACTTGTAACTTCATGCTCATAATCACTTTATTATATGGTCATCCATTAGATTAACCTTGCAAATATTAAACCAATTTTGATGTATCTAACAAAGAGGATATAATTCACCTCATGGTGAAAGGGTAAGTGATTACTGCAGTCACATTTTGTTTAAAGTAAATTGACCATCAGATTGCTGTCGATGATTGTTCTCAAGTGAATTTCCACGATTGCACAGGCACTATGGTTGTTTTCGTGGTAGCGGATGGGGTTCTAGGAAGAAAAAAAAACAAAATAGAACCGGAAATAATTTCACAGTTTGTTTCCGTTTGGTAAGTGAGACTCTCCGTTTGTGCTTACATCCAGATGACAAAGATTTAATGGCCTTGTGGAGAATTAAAGGCGTAAGTGGAACTATAAACTTGTCTCGAAATTTGTAAATCCCCACCGCAGGGGAAACAAAAGTGAAATCTAAGTCTCCAAGCTTTAGTTGAATGTCCAGGGTAAAGGAAAAAATGACTGTCGCACTGTCTACGAATTTCTACGCCTCGGGCAAAACGATCAACCGTGTCATATTTCTAGTTACTTAAAATCCACTTTTATACCTTACAAGTATCAGACTAACTTCCAAAAATTGAAATTAAAAAACTAAATCCCTTCAAAGAATCATCCGAAAAGCATTGCTCTAAGTTTTCCCTCCCTGAAAAGATAAATATTTATTATTTCTAAATCGGGGTGTGCCATAAGCCTACCTCCATGTGGTGCACCTTGGGCAACGTATACTCATACGGTAGAAAAGTCTATTAACCGGCAGTTGACTTCTAACTTCAAACTACCATGACCCCACTCTATGTCATATTTGACCACTTCCACAATACTCACCTCATCTTTTCTATACCTTTGTGTCTACCTGTCTTTTTTATCTGTAATCCATTCTTTTATTACCCCTCTCCTCTCTGAAGCCCGGAGTCAACTAAAGGGCTAATTATAATTATCAAAACGTCTGCCATTTGAAATAAATAAATAATTTATAAATCTCATCACGTGAATCTCCTCTTAATTTCCAACTCCACTGTTGGTAGTGGATTGGAAACATAATCTCATGCAATATTACGGGAATCAAGTCAGTAAAGTTGAACTTCATGGCATTAAATTACTTAATGAATAATGCATCTTATCACTTCCGGAATGCAAAGGAGTGGAAATCATGGTATTCTAGCTTCATTATCGGCTTCTGCTTCTTGTTATTTCCCGTTTCAAAACCTTTTTAAGTTAATAGTCAAAATTTGTAAAGCAAAATTGCATTCCCCATCTAAGTGCCATAGTCAATAAACATTGAAAATACATCATGCCAATTTCCTTAAGTGTGAAAATTTTCATCTTAAAGGCGGGAATAAAATAATATTAGAACAATTTAGTGACTACTTAATGCTAGGAGTAAATTGATTAGGAATCTGAACTGAAATCTTGGGCACAACAATTCATCTCGTATGATTGTCGTTCTGATGAATTTTTGTCTTCGTTAAAATACTTATAATATCGATCTATAACTGCAAATGTATCGATAATTTGGATACAATGTGTGCATACAGTGGCGTTTAGTTATTTTGGTATCTAATGGTCCATTGAACCCAATTTCCATAGATTATTAGGTACCTTTAGAGAGATTTATTAATGATAAAGCTTGAAATTTTCAGACCACGATAGTCATTCTTCCTACCACATACAATTCTGGCCTGTTAAGTAGCGGTGAGGATGAGTTTTAAAATAGGAAACGAAGTCAATATGCGGTGTAACAATAGACAAGAAAGTTTTAATCTTAACGAAAGCAAATTACAAATGAACTAAGAGCAGCCACAATGGGGAAGAAAGCGACTCAAAAAATGGAGTCCCATGGAGTCCAGGCCTTTCGCAAGTTTATTACATAACCTTGAGATGTCTAACTTGACCTCATTCTACTTCCTTGTTGGAAATATACTTTAACCTGCAATACTAATCTACTGCCCTGTTGTTTAACTTCTGAAATTCCAGGAGCATGCTTTCATCTATCATCAAACAGTCAACGCTGCATTGGAAAATACATAAACGGTAAAATGAAAATAAAAAATATCATGTATAATTTGTAATCACCCAGAAAATAGACCTCGCACTTAGCTTTATAAAATATCACCAGAGTATTTCAAAATTAAAAGTGAGGTGAACAATCTGGAATAGGATGGAGGATGAAATACCAACCCTTTAACACCCTTCAGGATCGTACATTCCTCTTTCAAAACAAGCTCCATTGGTACTAGACTCCTAACAGAAGGCGCTATTGGCGTTTGAAATATGCTCAATACGTGTCTATAGTCTTCACCTGATGCCACCAGCATAACTCTTCACATTCGCGACATCAGTCTGGTGTGAGTCACGAGTGAGTGCGGTTGGGTGCACTTTTTAAAGGAGGTAATTCGGACGTTAAGGCGTTAAAATACCACTCCATTGAGTGTCCCTCTTTTCATGAGCTCTTTCTCCTCAATCAATGACTTTGATGATTGATTAACTCATATAATGATTTGCCTTCCCCCTCGTTTGAAGTGACTCAAAATAAATTACAGTAGGCAGACCAAGAATGTGCTCTTTATGGTATCTTTTTAGTCGCTGACACTGAAAAGATTAATGAGACATTAAAATGAAGTTCCTTGGAATGAAAATGCAGCATTTATAATTCGAAACGGGGGTGTGTGATAGACTTACCTTCACATGGTACACCCTGGGCAGCGTATACTCATACGCAAAAACGATCTATAAACCGGCAGTTGACTTCTGAATTCTAACTGCCATCATCCCACTCTATGTCATATTCCACCATTTCAGAAGATCTCGCCTTACCTTTTACTCAACATTTGTGCCTGTCTGTCTCTTTTACATCTGTGAATCATTATTCTGTCCCCTCCTTCTCGACTTTCGTCACTTTGATGTTCCCCCCTCCTCCTCTGTGAAGTCAGAAGTCAGCTGAAGGCCTAATGATAACTATCAAAATGCCTGCCATTTGAAATAAATAAATAATTCGAGACGAGCAGAAATTCTCTAATTTTAAGATCGAAATCTCACCATTTCATCCCCACGACCCTTCCTCTTCTTTCTTCAGTGAACTTAATTATGGAATAAACTGCGTTAATTCACATCATA